CATTTTATCCACTACAATTGCATTGGTCAAGTGTGCTGTTATTGGTACCATTCACTACTGAAAATATCAACGAGATGTTTATTTGTATTTGAAGACATATTAAAGGCTTTAACGCTTGTTTTCGACTCGTACTACTATTCATGATTGAACAAAACTTTTGGCAGGTACTGTATGAAAAAGTACGTTTAATGAACAAGAGTCGAGAGTATAATGAGTTTTTTCTCTTTACCTACGATTTTGCCAGCGCGCATCCAAGAAATTGGAAGGGACACATCGCTAGAGAAAGTAAATGAAGTATACCAAGGACGACTAGATAATAATTGAAAGTGTGACATATTAAATAAATATTAGTCCAACAAATTGTTAGATACAGCGGTTTTTGTGTGTAAAGTTGACTCGTTTCATAGCTTTTATGAATCCCATTCGTAAAAAAAAGGGAGTAGGGTAAAAAGGTTTGGATCCTATTCCGTACGACCACGTTTAAAATGGCAATTTATCTGTGTCATTTGATTCAATTCGGCCTTTTAAAGGGAACGGGTTTCCGCCAAAGTCAGCGTATCTATCGTATTCACGTGTGTGAATGTACCATGAGGAAGGTTAAAAATTGATATTTGCTTTCACTCATGCGAAAAAGTCCATCGTCACGCAAGGTATATAAATGTTGAGCCTCGGCCAAAAATCACGTTACCACTTTGTACACAATTCAGCAACATATGTACAGAAAAAAAGGTTTTCGCCGTTATGTTTTCAACTCCAACAGAAAATTTCATGATGACTTTTGTTTTCTTTTATATGAGTATTCATTTTAATTTCCAAAAAGCACTGCCACATGACGCCATTCCACCAAAAATTACGGCGACGGTTAAATATTTTCATACTTGTGAATCCCAACGTCTTTTTATGCAGTCACCGAGTTGGCCCATTAGATAATTTACACACAAACTCCTATCTGTCCTTTTAATTTATATTTTCAGAAATAATGGCTCCGAAATAGAAACGTGGCAGTGGAACCACTCACTGCATTATGTCGGTCACAATGTCTAGATTACAGGGTTGTGTACCACTCAAATAAATTAAAAAAAAGGTGGTTTTGTGTGCGTCAGAAATCAATGAATGGGCGGAGTTTGTCACAACGAAACCTTTCGTTGAGGCTCATGATATTCTAAATTACCTGTACCACAGGTTGCTGTGTACAAAAACGACAATAGACAGATGAAATACAGTAAAAGCGTTTGATTTAACGTTTTACATCACAATATCTAGATTACAGGGTTGTGTACCACTCAAATAAATTAAAAAAAGACGTCAGAAATCAATGAATGGGTGGAGTTCTGTCACTGCGAAACCTTGGGTTCAGGCTCATGATATTCTAAATTACCTGTACCACAGGTTTCTGTGTACAAAAACGACAATAGACAAATGAAATACACTGAAAGCGATTGATTTGACGTTTTATATACAACACTTTTGGAAAATTTCATCTTTCATTATTAGATCCAGGTAAGGACGATATATATAGGTATGATTTTCTAGAGGTTTTAGAATTTAATTTTGTGCAAAACGTCTCTATTCAAATTCTGAAATCGGTCGCTTTGGACAAACCCAATGTCTAATTCGTTATCATAAGAAGAACAAGAGCAAATAATTGTATGCGAATGCGTTAAAGTTTGATGGTAACTTTACCTCTTGAAAACTTCGGCGACTAGTTTAGTTGGTTGGTTGGTTGGTATACGGTCGCAAGTTATCTATCTCTGCATGCACGAACAGAAACTTTGTTACGAGCAATAAATTTACTTAACAGAATTCCACGAAAAACCGTCGTATAATTCAGAAAAGATCCGGACATGCGAATGTCAACAGAGCTTCGAAATTAGAGGCGTCCGTCGCAAAAATTCAAATTAACCGGCAAAAGTTATGAAAGAAAAGAAAGTTTTGGACGGAAGCTTTGATGGAAACGGATGAAGCGAATGTGTACACCGGAATTCCGTTTTTGCTCATTAAAATTACAATGGATTTATGGCAAGTTTGTGGGCTCATTAAAATAGCACAATATAATTCGTGTAGCAATAAATTTTCGGTGAAATTTGCCGCAACATCTCAGCAACGAAGTGCTTTTTGCATTCGGTCCGGACTTATCCGGACGCAAGTGATAAAAGACAAAAACTTTATTGAAGGACTAATGAATAGAAAAAGATGGAACTTTATGATCATTTAAACCTGCAGGTTTACTCGATGCCAAAATCTATCCCACTGGTAACAGCTGAACCAGCATAAAACTGAACGTTTGATATTGATCCAATTCTATAACGACTCATGAAGGTGACATTTCTGTGTCATATTACACAAGCAGAATTGTATTTCATGAAGAAAATATTTTACATAAGTATATCACGATTCTGGCATCGGCTAAGGTACGTATGTTACGTCGTAATAAATACTTTTTTTCTTCCACGCAATTTTTATTCCTAACGCCTACATTTACCCACGACAGACGTTGTAGGGAATATTGTAATCGTAGAAAAGAGATGACAGATAGGAATTGCAGCGAACACCAAGAAAGTAAAAGGAATAACATTACACTAATTTATGTGTAACAGAAAGAGACGCGGACAAGCAGAATTTGAACATGTTGCCAGCATCGGACTTTAAAAGAAATTTAGGAATGCAAAGCCAGTTCTTCCAATTTTTCGTCGCCTATTGGGATCCGTCAAATGGGCATACACCATCTGGTGGCAAAGTTTATAACTCGAATGAGGGAAAAATTTACATAGGAACTGTGCACGCAAATTGTAAAATTGTTTATTAAAATAATAAAACACGTTAAAAAAGTAAAAATTTTTTGATGATGGAGTCGACGAAGTTTTCTTCTAAAATTAAATCAAATAAAAAGTTAATATGTTCAGTGAAAAGCTGCAATAGCACTTCAGACATAGATCTTCACTCTTCACCTACATTAACTACTTTCCAATAAAAACTAACCGTTTTATATATGTAAAAAGTATATTCGGAAAATTAGGGAAAAAGGGAAATAATAGAAGCTTGGATGAAAGCAGTAGGTATCAAACAAGTGAATTCCGGAATAAAAATTTGTTCACGTCATTTTAATGCACATGATTATATTTCAGCAAGTATTTACCATCAGTCATAACCTTAATATTTAAAACTAGAATCATACTAAAATTATAAAGTGAGAAATTATTTATTCCTGTGTAATTGATTTAACACAATTCTAATGATACGATATAAGAATTTTGAGGTTAAGAACCTAGTTGCAATAATGTGTTTGCAACGTTCTCTTAAATCGGCTTTCCACGTGCAAGTCATTGATATGATATTGCTTAAATCACCCAGAATCACCTCACCAATTATATAACGTGAATCACTTTTTAAATCCGAAGTTTGTAAAAAGTAGGCAGTAAACTTGACAGAATTTGAAGGCTAGCTTCCGGATTTATTATTTCCGAATTTTATAATGTGATTGGCATTAAAAACACGCTCACCTTCAACGAAATTTCCTTTCCGAGGCTTTGTGTCAGCCCAATCACATATTGTGTCAATACTTATCATTTTATCGTAATTTAAAAACTTGGAAATTGCACGGTACACTATAGGAACTACGACAAATTTTCCCTAATCGGCGCCATGTTTTTAGGCTCCTCCCATTTGACGGATCCTAATATTTATATTCAGTTTTCTTACCTAGCATAGATTTGAAAATATATATATATATAAAACGTACACGATCTTTTGGATTTTGTAAATTAAATATTATTAGTAATAAACCTGTATCAAACGTGATTAACGGAATCAGATTAAATTTAACATTACATAAAAACAGAAGATAAATATCTAAAACTACCAGTTGGCATTTTCGTAATGCGTTTACGTTTTAGGAACAAAGTTTTTACAATCCTTTAAGAATATTTTATTTGCACCTTAACCTACTTCAATCGTATGTTTAATTATTAAATGCTCTGGTTTGTAGTTTGACTTAAAAACGATGTAAAAGGCTTTTATAGCTTTAAAAGGGATTAAAAAGCGCCTTAATTACCACTTAAACCAGGTATGTTGCTACCACTTCGTACAGAGCACTCTTTCTAATGGCATACACTTACGTAGTTTCTTCTGCTTGGTCAATAATGAATGATTATTCAATTATCTCAAAGAGAATTGACTTTTGAAGCGATTTACAATTTACAGAACCTCAGAGTAAAATTAATTCGAATTTTAAAAAGGAGCAATCACGTTTCCTTAAAAAAGTCTTTAGAATCTTTTGACGTGACAACGTCTTATAATTCGATGGAGCCGGCTGCACGCACGAAAAAACATGACTCATGCGGCGTTACCTCGCTCTGAGGCGTTCCATTTAAGGCTTGAAGTGCAAGCGAGAGCGCGGAACGAGCGACAAAGAGGCACAATCGGCCTCCGCGTTCGGCAGCGTTCGACATCTGTCTCTCTCCTACTTGAGTGAGCGATGCGTCCGCGTGGACAGCTGCTATACAATAATACATTTCCATTTACCTCCTTCTCTATATCCATACAAAATATATATCAAACAAATAAAATTAAAATTTTCTTTTGAAAAATGAAACCATTCCATCAGTATTTTCTTATGACGTTGTCACGTTCAACTATCGTCAGTCAACCGACTTTACAGGCAACCGATTTTTTAGTTTGCTTATTGCTACAGTCAACTGTCATAAATGGTACAACAGCCTGAAGTTAGGTTCATTAATATGTACAAAAAGAGAATAAAAAATACAAGCCAATAAACGTTGAAACTGCTACTACTACTGACTGTCCATCCTCAACTTCTCTACATTACATCTAGGTGAACCTAACTTCACACTGATTCACCACTTACGACAGTCAACTGTAGATTCTGTCTTCGATATAACGCTGTTTATTCATTTATTTTGTGACTTTTGGTCTCTTTATTTTTTCTCTGAGATCAAATAACCCACAAAAGGAATAAGAAGAAAGGTGCTTTGACATTTTACCTGTAATCCGGGCCTTCCCCTAACTGTCGTACCGTTATGGGAAACTCGTAAGGACCATGAGCTTTCAGTAATTCCTGCAGTCGCACTAATCCCTCATTGTTTTCGTAAATAATTGTGAAAGACTTCCAACCCCACGCTTTCACCAAATCAACGTAGGCCTGGAACAAAAAAAGAAACCTATTATAATACTAAACAAACAATAGAACAAGATGGAAAAAGCATTCATATCGAAAACATATCGTATCAGATAACAAAGGCTAAAAACAAAAAAAATATTGAAGAGAAAATTTACCGAAAACAAACTCTATATACATATAACTATTAAATATAACAATCGATCGTCGACTATATAAAATAATCGATTATTTCAATTAATCGGAGTACCTAATCTACCATCTGAAATAATCGATTACTCAACTCCTTCATTACTTAACAATCGATTATTATTAAGAATGAAAGTAGTCGAAATTTGATTAATTGGATAATATAATTGTCCAGTAATTGATACTGTTATACGCGATGTTTGATTTGAGAACAATCCTTTTTCCTGTGCTATTACCCGGGAAAAGGAAATGCTTTGAAAGCTGTGAAAACAATTTCCATCATTCCGTTCGAATGATTCAACATTAAACGATTTAGAATCAAACTCGCACGTAATAAACAATAGACTGGGCTGTTGTCAGATGGCCAAATGTAAATTGTTGTTCAATGTTGTAGTAAATTTTGCCATGGGGACTTGACGTAATGAGCTATTCTAATATGGGTCATGCATGATCACTGCATACAACCACTCGCCATAACTCGTAAAATAAATTAATTCAACTAATTACTTTAATGAAAATGGTATGATATTCCTCCCTATGAAACGAGTGAAAATTAATAACTGTACTCGACCCTGTTTACACTAATATATTTCATACCTACATAAAAAGTTTTGAACTCGAATGTTTCCAGAAAATTCATCCACCTAATTCCGTAATATTCTGAATATCAATTTCAGGCTGATTTAGGTAGTTAATTAATTTTTATGAAATCTTTAATGTCAAAAATTGTTTCTCTAGTATAAAGTGGTAAAAATGCCTCAGCAAGTAGAAAATTTGATAAGAATAACGAAACATATTATTTCAATTGACTAATTTATCGACTCTTAGTCCAAACTACCGCAGCTATTAGACGTAGAATTTAGATAGTAGTGCTATTTTATGAAATACGGATTCTCTACAAAACCTTTTTTTAAAATTTAACGTCTAAGGAGTGAAAATGATATGGAGAAGAACTAATCCGTTTTATTGCAAATATTTCATCAGTTTTGAAGTCCAAACGAAGGCATTATGGATTCCTAATTTCACCAAAATGTTTATCTACCAGTCCTACCAATATTTAGATCATATAATAGAATATGTATTCCATTTCCGATTGGGTAACCGTTTCTATAATATTGGAAAACTGTAGACAACAAGAATCCAAGTTTTTAATTTGAAATTATTCCATTTGGCTTCACTTTCATATCAAATACTATCATACACCAACGTTTCATCTCGTATAGCGGATAATGTTCGGTCTTCAATCCCGCCTGGATTACCCATTTACTTTTCTCTAAAACTGTCCTAGATAAAACAACGACCTAAGCACGCCTGCAAGCAGTACATTTTGTCTGGTATTTTACTCGTTTAACTTTAACTGTATTGTGAAAAATGCGACGTAAAATGCACTCGATTCCATCGTCTCTTCCTACCAATTCAGCTGTAAGATCGACGGTTTAATAACTCAATAAATGCTTTCAAAAGAAGACCCGGTATTACTGCAAACGTTCTGTAATATTTATACAACGAGTAATGGCAGAAAGATGAAAAGTAATTTACAAATCGTTTATTACCTTTTTCCAAAGGTTCTTCGATTGATGAAACACGTGCATTAGAAAAACAAAAGATAAATTACATTATTACGCGAAACAATATTAAAAATATGTAATTTACATGCGAATTATTTAAAATATATACGAATTTATTTTTACCAGCAACAACACTATAATAATTCTCTTTAACAGAACGTAAAAATATTCGAAAATACACGTGTTATTAAGCAGTCGCATAAACATCGAAGTCAGCTAACTGAAAGATAAGAGAGAGAAACAGATGAAAAAGAGTTGTTTACACCAAACGTTTTCACTCATGAAGCTATTATCTTTAACATAATTGTCTACTTTATACAAAGTTATTCTATCGGTAGTTTATATGAATGAATTTAAAAGCAAAAAATATTTGATTGGTTTCACGAAAAAATTAAGCAAGTCAGTTTTGGCCTAGTTTTACAAGTTTCCATTTACATTATAAAATCGCCTAATTTTTTGCAATAGCTTATAAAATTATTCCTGATCGATATATAGAAGTCTATTAGGTCATTTAATAAAAATTTATTACTTCTTTTTTTAATTTGTAACAAGTCCAGCGTGTAATTTTTGTTTGACTGGAACAATTTGCAATTGCTTGATAAAAATATAGATCTAAAGAATGCTTCTCGATATTAAAATATTCAACTAAATAAATATAAAATGCAAGACATCTACGCCCAGAATAATAAAATAGATTACACATTATAATCTTATTGTATAATCAACTTGAACATCGAAGATGAGAGTTTGAATTAAGTCCACTTATGTACTCTGAACATAAGTAAATAAATAATTAATTTACGATTAATAACGAAAGTTACTTCAAGAATTAAGGTGAAACACGTATATGCCAAGTACGTACCTACATTATTTTGTTAACCAAATTCAAAATGTTTGAACCGGGAAATAACCTACGTAAGAATCAATTTGAGATTTACTTTGTAGAAGTTTGTTAGGTTTATTACCATCATGATACACAATTTCAACAGTTTTACTTACTTAACGAGCTTTAAAGTTTGAAATATAGGTACTTGAAGTAACTTTTTCACCTACTACAGAGTGATCTCGAGGAAATCGTAACTTTAGTGATAGGTATTTCCTCCACGTGCCTACTAAACCTTTTCAGTCTTCAAAGAAAATTGTTACAACACAGAATTTTGAAAAATGAAAACCACGGAATTATTTTTTTGTAATTTAGAAGAAAACTCTAAATCTCAAATTAAAGCAGAGATACAAAAGAATTGAACGTATTGGCTTATCCAAGTTGAAAAAGTTTCATCTTTTTTAAATTGATTGGGTAATTGAAATAATTATTTTTTAATAAAGGCCAAAGTATTTTGTTTCACACAAAGAGAAAAAAATCGTTATTAAAGAATAAATATTGGAATTGTAAAGAGAAATCCTGGAACTTCGGTCGGTAGAGGTTCGAAAAGAAGGTGCTGACGCATGAATTTTCTTTCGTTTCTCGTAGGATAAAATGTGCCACCAATTTTGGACACTTGAGAAATTGGGTCAATTTTATTAGAAATCGATTAAGTCAACATTCAGTTTCTGCTTCAAACATTAACTCAAACTTCAAACTCCTTTTAGAATTAATTCACACATTTATTAAAGTCGGGAATAAAACAAAGTAGGAACTGCCAAAAGGATATTTTTATTAAAAGAGTTAAATGTGTAACGATCTCTCACAAAAAACCTCTAGTCCTCGAAGAAACTATTAATCTTTGCTAAAATTGAAGAAATATAAAGTTTTTTTTCGATGTAAAAAACCACTGATCCGGCTCGAAGGACCAAATAAAAAATGTACAAACGTTGTACGTTGCACGCCAAATTAATATCATGCAACTAGTTAAATTGGATCGTGATTTTGTTGATGAATAAAAATTCACTGTTTTATTTAATACATTTACTGGAATTTCTATTCTAATCAATAAAAACTAAACTTCAACGTCTAAATTAAAACTATCAAAATTCGTCCGACAATGGAAACTATTTTGGTTGGTTACTGGATGCAAAACTTACTTGATTGAAAGATGAAATGTGAATGCCTAATTCTTAATGTACTATGCAACTACATCTACAAACAGGTAAATTGGTGAATATTATTTTAGCGGGGTGAATAACTAGAAACTGAATATAACACAGAATATGGAAAGAACTATCATTAAATGTGAGCACAATCGCCATACAACATTTCTTTCCAGTTTATAAGGGTTCTGTGAATACCCAGGTAAGATGTAAACTAGTCCTGTTGTCACTCTCTTAATAAGTATTTCATTACAAATATAAATTTAAAATTGAAAAAATTCACAAAAAAGTGAAAAACTTAGGACCTAACAGAAGTGTTGGCAACAACAATAAGCAAAGTTATATAAAAGCCCTTCCTCGGGAACCAAATTGTACCTCCTCAAAACTCCTCCAAAGAAATATTGTAAATTGAATGTTTTTCAAAAGCACCATCGTAATAAGAGTCGGAATTAAGAATGAGGAAAGTTTCGCGACAAACGTCTAGCTTTAAACCAATAAACGAAACGATGATTTAAAGTAACCACTCACTACTAAACGCTAAACTTGCAAAGTTAAAATTAAAGACAGAAAATCCTTAGACTGAATGTAATGGTGCATTTACTTCTACGTAGAAATTAAGCAGAGTTGAAAGAAAAGTAACTTAGGAGTTTTTAAAAATCCTAACTGCTTCTTTATGCATGAGGTAAGCTGAAGATTAAAAGTTATAAAACTAATAAAACTTGAAGTGTATCTATGTATAGTAATTTTATCTTTTTTGTGCCAAATATTTTCTCAAAGTAAAAGTTAAACGGAGCTGTATTTTTTGCGTAAAGAAAATGTTAAAAATTACTTCATTATCTTCATTCTTTCTGGAACCTACTAATTATATTATCGAAGTAGAGGAAACTGCGAATGCTATCTAGAAGGTAGAAGTTCAAAGATCAAATAGTTGGAGAAATTTATATTACTTAATATAAAAGTATACTTCATTTACTTTCTCTAGCGATGTGCCCCTTCCAATGTATTGGATGCGCGCTGGAAAAATCGTAGGCAGGGAGAAAAAAGCTCATTATACTCTCGACTCTTGTTCATTAAACATACTTTTTCATACAGTACCTGCTAAAAGTTTTGTTCAATCATGAATAATAGTGCGAGTCGAAAACAAGCGTTAAAGCCTTTAATATGTCTTCAAATATAAATAAATATCTCGTTGATATTTTCAGTAGTAAATGGTACCAATAACAGCACATTTGAACAATGCAATTGAGTGGATACAATGGTCAATTTTTCCGTGCAGTACTGTACGGATTATACTCTCCTCACTGGTTAAGAGTTTGGCCGAGAGTTGTCTCCTTCCTTCTTTGGCCTAGTGCTGTTCTTTTCTACTTTGCGCCGGTCAAACTGAGAGTCAAATCGCTACAGAAAGTAAACGAAATATAACTACTTCCAACTACTTATAGGTGTATGTCTTTTTGACTTATGGATATTAAAGATCATTTTTGGAGTCCCTATATCTATTATTCCACTTAAGTATAAGATGACATTGTACTATCAATAAGTTATTATGTGTATTCTACATTGCGATTAATCTATGCTATTAACATAAGGCATTATTTCAATGTTTTGCTTCTTTCCCGAGCTTTTGTATTTGTAATAATCTAAAGCTCAAAAGAAGCAATTTGTTCGAGAAATTATCTCAATAAATTGGACGACCAACATTATTAAAAATTATTATTTTCTTTTCCGTTCGTAAAGAAAAAGCTGCAAGAAAAATGAAGTACAATAAATAGATAATTGGGATTTTTCTTGGAGGCACAAAGGAAGGAGACACAATGAATGAGTCCGCAAAATAAATATATGTATTTGCAAAACAGCTCACCTTTGAAAGCATCGTAGGGTGCGGGTAAAGATTTACCAGGCAGCTTTCCCTCCGCAGTCTGTAGTCCCACCGCGTTTCCAAATGGGGGATTTCCATGGTGTCACAGATCGATTGGACGTGGCTTGCCGTTTGGGGAGACTGTGGACCAAAAATAGCGGCGACACCACTTCGAAGGAGATGGCAAACTATGGGACATGAGAAAATACTATAAATGGCGCAGTAAACGCCATCTGTGGCACGATGCTACATTTTAGGATTACGTATGCTCCAACAAGGTCCACTTGTGTGGATATCTACTTCCCGGCGTAGCTAACCTCAACGTGATAGGAACGTTACCATAATCGAATAAAATAATTCGAAGTGGTCTGTATTCTGTCGTAACTGCCAGATTTCGATCTTTTTGGATCTCATCAGCGCGTCGCAGCAGCTCCGACAGAACACAGACCAACTTTTACATGCTGTCTTAACAGTGCGTTTTAGAAAATACTACAAATGGCGCAGTTAACGCCATCTGTAGCACGATGCTACATTTTAGGATTACGTATGCCATCGGAGCTGCCTGCGACGCGCTGATGAGATCCAAAAAGATCGAAATCGCGATCCGCGTCTGGCAGTTTCGACAGAATACAGACCACTTCGAATTATTTTATGAGACATTACATAATCTGTATAGGCAATATTTGACAACACCATAAAGCATTGGGTACATTTAATTTAAATAAATGTAATGCACTTTGCCTCTTTGAATACAATTTTCATCGGAAATTTTGACTGAAAATTTAAACCAACAACATTGCAAGCAAACACACAAAATTGAATGGATTGTCTAGTGGTCTGTGCATCTGAAAATCTATTACACAAACGTGCCCTCGTAACATGACCGCATGGGCTCTCTTTGTACCACAAACTGCTACAACCGCAGCAGTTTTGATAAATACAGAACAAATCGATATAACTTTTCGAATGCATCTCAAACTTTCATCATCTATCTACAACTGTTTGGAATACAAAAACATAACGTGTCGTCACCTGACGCTACTAAGTGAATTGTTCCATCAGCCTAAAGTGTGACACAGAGTGATTAGACGAAAGGTACTTTGTAGTCTCCTTTAGGAAATGTAAGAATGAATAGGAGGTAGCAACTGGAAGCGGAAAGATGACATCAACTAGGTGAAGACAGTAGAAGAAAATCGAAAGAATATTTGTAGCTTTAGAATGTCATTTACCTGCACGATTCAAAAACTCCACTTAACTTGAACCATGATAGAGAGAAAAAAAAACTATTGGGTGTTTCATTCCCACCAGCCAGTAATGCCGGTAGGCGGGCAGTCCTTCCGGGCTATGCCGGAAGGTAGGGCGGAAGGCCCTCTTCAGCCTGCTTTCAGGAATCGTGGGAATGGGTGGGTGGTGGTTCGGGTGAGAAAGATGAGACGGACGAAATGAAGACAGAAGAGAGTTAACGATTATCTGTGGAATATTACTGCCTCAGCAGTTGCCTAAGTGATCCAAGGAAACCACAGAAAAACTTGGACCAAGGCAGACGGACCCGGAATCGAACCGGCGTCCTCCCGAATGCTAAGCAATGGTCTAAACCTCTAGGCCATGCCGCTCGGTCCATGATAGATAAACCCGGATACCTACACCAAAAAGAAAAAGCTGGAGACCATAACAGATCAGAATAAAAGTCATCAACATCATATCGCTCATAATTGAGTGGTTAATTACACCGATCTGGAGATAAATCGATGGTAAACCCTTTATATAAGAAAGTAAATTGAGTAATTCGAATAATATGCGGAAACAATATGACACTTAATTTATGTGTGGTTATGAAAAGTGCTGTGTGTTACTAACTATTGGTGGCGAATGGGGTAAGAAAATGATTAATAGTCATTCAAAAAGCTGTAGGCGACAGCTTGGCCAAAAGAAGAAGGGACCCAAAGGATAAAAAATTGAATATCCACGGTAGAAAGAGGAGCCGTAACTGCCAACTCAACTAAAATCAATTTGTTTCTGGACATAAGGTCAAATGTCAGATGTTCGTTCCTGATTGAAATAAAACAAAAAAAAAACTCCTGCTTTTAAATGATAATTGTTAAACGATTCTAACCTTTCTTAGAAGCATGGAAACTGTCTTGAGGCGACATGCGCTCGATTTGAGCGCTTAGTTTCGATCGTGGCAGAATGGTCCTGTCGTTGTTGATCTTATCCACTGCGTATTTGAAAGCCAGCTCTTGTTTATCATCAGCCGGATGAAAAAGGCCACCTGCAACAAAAACAAGCTTTAATTTACCACTTAAACTTGGATGAATTAGTGTCTACAAAGTTTTATGTGAACTTCCGATTCCAAGATGATGAAAAGAGTGGCCTTTTGTATGCAATCAGGAAAACGTCAAAATGTCTCTTCTCTTTTTGTACGAACTCTGACCAGATAAATGAAAATCTTCGACTACACCATTAATCAAAAATAAAAAATAAAAGAACCGAAAAGAAAAAGGATTATTCAAAGGAGTGATTCTTTTAATTCGTCCTGGAAATATCCCAAGTAATGTGTTAGAAAAGCGGGAACAATATATATGTATGTAAGTCTGCGTAATTTCTGAATTCTGCGTCACTACTGCGTGCATTATAATGAATGTGAGGATTAGTTCGGACTTTACTTTAATCCTGTCGCGCTCGGTAATCCGTTATTGTCCTAGGTCATTTCCGTGCTAAAGGCTCAAATGGAACCATTCCGTTTAAGTTGTATCCGGAAATGTCCAAACAACTGAGTATTATTCATCTTTATATTCCACTATATCCGTTCCTTTTCATTTCAGAGCAACGTTTGAACGGACATTTTCTCGCTTGACGTTGATTTATGTGCCAAATTTTTACCTAGTTGATACATGCCCCTTTTATTTTGACTGACGGGGTGTAATTTCGTTAAGATTTTCCTTTGAATTGTACTTTCGCAGTATTTATTTAAGGTCCCTATTCATAAAAAAATAAAAGTCAAACTATAAAATGTCTTACCTATTCTGATAACATCTGGAAGGAGTAAAACGTGATGAATATTGAGGATAAGGAGAAAAATTTCCAACTTGGAATCCATGACGAATCTGAAAATACATAAACAGATTGTAATTTTGAAGGGAAACGTTATGAGTTGAATACAAAGCTTTAGAAATTGGATATTATTTAAAGCTCTTCATTTTGTAACAAAAATACCTTCAACAATTGATTGAACTTAAAATAACGGATTAAATTTTCTTGTTTGAAACTTAGTATGGTAGAAACCAATGCACTTTAAAAAAATGTCTAAATTTTTCCTTTGCTGTTTTCAACCAACACTAAAGGCATTGCAGTTCTAAAATAATTAAACCAAAATTAGAGAAATGTACAAAACAATTAAAGTATTTGAACAGCACAAGAAAGTATTTAGCATTGTTGAAATATTCAAGCATTCGTTGTTCTCGAAACCTCCACCTTAGAAACAAATTTTCTCACTTTAATAAATTATCGTCTAAATAAATGTCTGCTTAAGGATACGAAAGTGTCCAATAAGAAAACTTGGGTCCTAAATAAGGAAGTGCTTGAAGTTTAGAAATTAAATCGAGTGTAACATCGTTTACAAGTACAAGTAGATAAAAGGGCAGAAGAATTTTCGACGGCTTATAACGTTTACGAACAGATTGAGCAATAAAAGCTGATTCCTAACGGCAGATTTTCGATCTAAATTGAGGTTAATAGCTGCAAGGAAATGTCAGCCTGCTGGTCTGATAACAATGAAAAACACGTGCTAAAGATCGCTTCAGATTTATCCAGAATGGNTCAACAATTGATTGAACTTAAAATAACGGATTAAATTTTCTTGTTTGAAACTTAGTATGGTAGAAACCAATGCACTTTAAAAAAATGTCTAAATTTTTCCTTTGCTGTTTTCAACCAACACTAAAGGCATTGCAGTTCTAAAATAATTAAACCAAAATTAGAGAAATGTACAAAACAATTAAAGTATTTGAACAGCACAAGAAAGTATTTAGCATTGTTGAAATATTCAAGCATTCGTTGTTCTCGAAACCTCCACCTTAGAAACAAATTTTCTCACTTTAATAAATTATCGTCTAAATAAATGTCTGCTTAAGGATACGAAAGTGTCCAATAAGAAAACTTGGGTCCTAAATAAGGAAGTGCTTGAAGTTTAGAAATTAAATCGAGTGTAACATCGTTTACAAGTACAAGTAGATAAAAGGGCAGAAGAATTTTCGACGGCTTATAACGTTTACGAACAGATTGAGCAATAAAAGCTGATTCCTAACGGCAGATTTTCGATCTAAATTGAGGTTAATAGCTGCAAGGAAATGTCAGCCTGCTGGTCTGATAACAATGAAAAACACGTGCTAAAGATCGCTTCAGATTTATCCAGAATTGCTCGCCACTGCCGCGTTTCGTCGAGAATATTCTCCGATTTATGTAATTTTTCCGCATTATTCATGAGCAAATATGAATTGTATTACATAAAGTTGGTTTTACTTAAAACGGACTTCCAATTTACAATCCAACACATTAAGCAGGCGCAATTCTTGTAGGTACGCTTTTGAGATACACTCACAAGAAAAATAATATATAAAATACTAACGAAAACCGACTCAATGATTTGAGTAACTAAAAGAAATTTGATGGACACTATTGAGTACTCTCCCTGTTCCGAATAGATTTCCGGGATTTTAAGGATGTTTGGGAGGTATGTCAAAATGCTACGAGACAAATAAAAACTTGGAAGAACGTTGCTCACTCAATTCTAAAACTCTTGTAAAAATTACTAATCGATTCACTAAATCGTTAAAAAGTTATTGTAATTTTAAAAAATTGTAATTTTACACGTCATTTTATGGAGATTCGTTAACCGAACAGATTAACTTATCTTTAATTACAGAAAAAAAGCTACCAGAAATTTCAAACTTTTATAATAAGTAACTTGAACTCTGGAGAATCACTTTAGCGTAAGGTTATTCAAATTCACTAAATGGTTATCGAGGAAAAAATGAAAAATTAGCTGAAAATCTCGTTTTTACTTGATAATATAATGATAATATTTATAATTGTCTGAAATAAATGCAATTTTAAAGTTTTAATTATTATTTAAACATATTAAAAAGTTTTACGCTCATTATTAATAGAGATTGAAACTAAATATTTTTTTGTTTCGAAGTTGAAATCAAGGCATATTCACTGCCAAAAGTCAGTTAAAAATTTTCCATATTATTCGTTATTTCTTATTTTATTCAAAGTTTTTGGTCAAATTCCAAATTTTCTCTCAAACCGTATACTTTTTCTTTAGTATAGATAGTATTTATTTACTTCATGATATGCTGCAAAACCTAATTAATCACAAATTTCTAATTTTATGTACTCTTGTCTCCGATTGTACCTCCCAAACATCCTTAAATGTAATATATGATACTGAAAATAATCTTCCAAATCTGAAAGAAATTAGGCACTAAATACCATACCGTATGAATTTTAAAATACCGCTGATTCAATCCAGATTTTAGAAATTTCAATCTTTTTGGTGACAATTCCAAAATCAGGATTGAAAACATAGGTAAAGGTGCAGACTCAAGACGGATAAACCATAACATGTAGTATAGTTTTATGATAATGATTTTCATGATTAAGTTTCAGTTATATCAATTTAAATATTTCATTAAACATTGTGTCGTATTTGCATGATAAGATAAATGAATGCGATTATGCAAAAACTTTTCATTTTCCATGAAATTCTGCGTACCTAAATTGGGTTGCATAATTCATGAAACCTTAATGAGAGAGCTAAATGAACAATGGATCACTTCAACTATATTTTTGAGAGTGTTTTAAAAGGTCGTCGACTTAGCCATTGTCTAGACAGTTCCTCTTTTGTTTTACTCACATCTGAATCTTAGCCTAAAAGGCGAATAAAGAAATGTGAGGTACCTCCTGTGTTAACTATTAAAGTTTACTGCGAAAACGGCACAGTTTACATAAGACAGTGGAGCACATCTTGTCTAAAAGGCAAGACAATGCACCTAATAGAAGGTGCATGATATATGTGTATGATATACCTATCTAGTAGTCCTTCAACTTTTCTTCTTGATGCTACAATCCTTTTTGTTCTAAGTCACCATGACAATCAAGTAAAACGTTTCTTCCAAATAAAATAAATATTCAAACAGCAGAACAATCTAACTGTTCAAGATATTTATTTATTTATCTGTATCTACTACACTCAAATGGCAAAATATATGGTCTGTCAGTGTGTCTAGACCAAGCAATCACCTTTATTACTCAAGCAGAAGGTTGAGAAAAACTAAATCCGCTTTTAGTTAATTACACTTCACTGACAAAGGTTAATTTTTCTTGTCAATCCCATACTTCTTCTCAGGATTCGTCAGATTGCTGCCCCTTATCACCTAAACTTTGATTCTACTTTTTCTGAAAAGCTGTAAGAACGAGTTTAAAACACTTTCAGTTGGAATTTATCGAGTTTTTAGTTTTTTGTCGTAAAAATGCGAGCGTTGTTCTTTTGTTAATAAAAAAGGACTTAAAGGACAATCTTTTTCGACGAAGCGGACTTTATTGAAAGGCGTGCGTCTGTCAAGGGACAACGAGACGAAATCAAAAGATATTTCAATAAATTGAAAATGTTTTCTATTCAGCTGACAGCAAGAACTATGTAACTGTCAGTAGGATTTTCGAATATAACAGAAAAACGTCGGAGATGTTCGTAAAAGTGTACATCGGGAGTATAAAGTCGCATAAAATCCGTAGCAAGTTCGCGAAATAAATTTCGTTTTGACGATTCTCTCGAAATTTTTACAATAACATTTGTCCTTCGTCTAACAGGATCGTACTACAACAAATTTTGTTGCTATTCGCTCTTTCCGTTCAATAGAATAGGTCCCGGCGTGGAACCTTGTGGTACGCCACTTAAAAGAGGATCTTTGTGCCGTATTATTAGACGCGCTGAATGTATTTGATATATTCTGTTTTATATGCTGGCATTAATATTTTCTTCAAATATTACGATTATCACACGGTGTGGCATTTTTGATGCCTGAACGTTTTTTCGATTTTCGTTCAGTAGTTCTTATCTTCATCGTCCTCTAATATATTCCAAGTAAAATTTTCCCTCGACCAATTTTTAAAGATAAATTGCCATTTTCCCCTGCGAACTCTTAATTTATTTTTGAGGCGGAGATAGTCCTTAATTTATCACAACCTATCCATCAATAACGTCCCTCCCTTTGTTTGTAAACAGAAAGGGCTTCTTCCACGACATAGTTTAAGAAGATGGGACATTTTAAAAAATGAAACATTAGGGATGAAGTACAATATAAAACAATTATTACATATTAAGCGAGACAAAAATGCCGGAACTTCATTCCAACAGATAACTAAAACACAATTTTATAATATTCAAGGAAATTTTGGTAGGGCAACTATCCAATCCCAAATTTTTGATTTTGAATTCAACCGCCGATCATACATCATGAAGCACTGAAGATGCCATCTATTAAGCATGGCGAAACGTCTAAAATTAGAAAGCGACCACGGCAAAAAAGCCCAGAAGCTCTTCATCATCAATTAGACACCGGCTGTGAAAGCCTACGAACTACTCCAAAATTTTTATTGTTTAATATTCATTTGTCACATTCCAGTCGAAGTTGCTGACATTAAATAATGACTGTTGACTTGACATACAGACATACACATAATGATCCATTTGTGGTAACCAATATTTATTATTCACCACCATATAGCATAGAATCCTTTGAATTATAAGGACTAACAGTGCATTAGATTAGATGTCACCATTGTCTGAAGCATGACTGTACACGGAATAATTGTTTACCGCCAATGCAGTTTATAATTGAAGGAGATAATAATATGATTGACCACAAAATGTTTCATAAATCAACGCCCAGCCAACACCAATACAGTCGGTACAATATATATGCAAGGATTATGTATTCTAATAACGGTTCTGTACCCTATCACCTATGACAGGGGTTTAAATTATTATTGAACATAAAGTCTCGAAAGGATTACTTATCAGTAATTTATAGTTATCGCTAAACAATGGAAATGTGCCTTAATACGGAAATGATAATTTAAAATCAAATTTAAATAAAGACTTCAATTATAATAACAAACTAAATTCAACTTGTAGGTATTGATCTTGACATGAACTTACTGTGTTTAGGTCAGTTTGTGTTTTTGAGGAGCTTTCTTTGTTTTCATATTCATAGACGTAATTACAATAATTATCTGATAATTAACTTGTTAATTCAAGGTTGAAAGCTGCCTCCTAATTATGTTGATAGTAAACATAGTGATGACTGCATAAAGGTCTGCACTTCAGGGAGTTCCACTGGACGTGAGTCACCCCTAATTGTATTTTTTCATTACCTTATTAAAATTACCAGGAAATGAACAAGAGAAAATGTAAATGCAGCAGAAAATTTTCCATGCTAGTTTGAAACGCTCTGATTTTAACGTACACATTTATTTTTTTTATTTAACATTGGACTTCTGCTAGAAATGATGAAGTAATTCAGAACTTCAAGAAAAAAGATGAAAAAGTCTAACGAATACTAAACCCGAATCTAGTTGAGGTGTCTAACTACACCCGGTAGGTGTAGCAGCCCTTTTTCTATTGGTATTCTAAAATTCAAGTAAAAATGCAATAAGTAATAAAGAGAAGTAATTGGTAATTATATACTGAAAAAATAAGATGTTTTTAAAGTCATCGAAGTAGTTCGAAACCCTTAGTACATGAAGTATACCTGCATTTGGCCAGTTTTTATTGTTTACTAGCTGTCCCGGTAGACTTCGTACTGCCCCAATCGATATATAAAAGACCTAAATTTTTGTATAAAATAAACTTAGTTGACAAATGTCAAATAGTATGGTTGCGTTCAGAAATTTAATTTGACAGAACTTAAGATTTATCAATCTACATAAAAATAATCTGAAAGATGGTTAACAACTTTCATATTTATTCACCTTTTAAACCTTCCCTGGACTTCCACAAATAATTCAAGACCAAAATTAGCCAAATCGGTCCAGCCGTTATCGAGTTTTAGCGTGACTAACGAACAGCAATTCATTTTTATATATATAGATTGTATTCCAAAAATTTAATGTAACTTAAAATAAATCGTTACTTTTGGTAAAGGTCTAGATGATGGTGGGTGCGATCGAAAGAGGAGGTCTCCCGCACCACCGTACCATAAAAAGTTCGTGATGGTCTAACTCCCACAAAAAGTTATGGGGGTTGAAAGTTGATTATTTTTCCTACACTATAATTCAAATAAAATCCAATAAAAAATTATTTTCAAGCGGGTGGAGGTGGGGGATCGAAATAGGGTGGTCACTTGAATAAACCCCAATAACCTAGCCTAACCTAACCTAACCTACCCTCTTGATATAATAATTTAAAAAATGGGCATGTTTATTAACTTTGAACCCCTATAACTTTTTATGGGGGTGAGACCGCGACGAACTTTTTATGCTACAGTGGTGGGGGAGACCTCCTCTTTCGATCCCCCTCACCCCATCTAGACCTTTACGTTACTTTTGTGTAATAATGATCTTGACATAATTGCAACGTATAAAAAGTTAGTATAATATAATTAGTAATTCTTTGTGATAAAGTCCAGTTCTAAATGTGCACCGAAAAAGTTTTTGCGAAAAACTGAGTGCAAATGTGTAAATAGAGGGGATTAGTCGTAAAGCTCATTTAGCCACATTTGCATAGATACAACCGCCTGTATTAAATCTCTCTTTCCCATATTTGTTCAAATGTTATATGCAATGTTTGCAAATACGCGATATTTTGTTTCCTTAAAACAAAACTGCATAGCGTCGTCGTAAAAACGAGCGCAATTTTATTATTCATACTAAATTTGCATATTTATTACAATAGCTAGCTTTCAAAGTTCGAATAATTTCCATAATTCATTAAAGGTGGTGTGCAGCATTCGCACAAAAAATTTAATTAGCAAAAGCTTCCAATTTAACTGTTGACATATGTATATTCTAATTTATTTTTGTTCATGATAGGCCTGAAAATAATTTCTGTCTATTCATTTTCTTACCCACTTAAAAATTTTATCGACTTCTTTCCGGAAAGCTGCGGCGAATTAATTATACTTTACAATTACTAAATTTTGCCAATTTAGCGCATGTTATTAATATTTAAATTAAATTCAGAAACTTTGCTCAATTCTAAGTATGTACCTTGGTATAATAAGAGAGTGATATACCTATTAGAAATAATAATAACACCTAATATATATAAGTTCTACTACTTAGAAAAAACTTCATTATAAAATGATTTATTAATTCACAAAAATCAACATCAATTTAGGAACAAAATTGGTCTAAAAATTTTATAAGAAGCAATTCAACACTATAATAATTCAGAATTTGTTTTATTACATAAAATAAAAATTGAAAATACATCCAAATCAATGGATTTGTTGTTGTGCATTTATTTACAAAGAACAGCACTAAATGGAGTTCAAAATTCATAAGAAGGAGTTCAATTTAGTATAAACAATAGAAGGCAGTCGATAATTCAGGATTTCTTTGATTATAATATAAAGTGAACAATTGAAAATGAGTCTAAAATCGAACGACTTCTTAATAGTGCGTTAATTCACAAAGAACAACCCTTATTAAGAACAACAATTGCTTCAACGTTTGCTACTTCAACAATGTCATGCATGTCTTTCATCCTACCACATGTTTTGACAAAAAAGTGCACACCTTACCTTGGCAACAACACCCGAACGATGAAATGAAAATCGCACCCTTTTTCTCGTCTGTAACGCTCGCAGGTCCGCAACCCTCACTGCGGGTGAAATAGAGAATCCGGCGGTGGTCCAGAGCAGACTCCAGAGCGCAGGACTCCTACGTAGATGTATTATCCTTACCCCTTCACCGACCAAACCAACCTGGATATATACATATATATACGATGCCACTTGAAAAATATTCCCGACACTGACAGCAAACACCTACGAATAATAATGATGGTATTGTAATTTGTATTTACCCTTATAAACTTTTACGAACACGTAAATAACTAAAGCTAAAGGATTAAAGAATTCGAAAAGTAGAGATACTTTTTAGCTCAATATTGGGAGATGCTGAAGACATGGTACACAGCACAGAAAATGCTTAATTATGACAACAAGAAATAAGTTTAAAATTGGTCCTTCGAGCCGGATTTTTCAATTCATATGTCAAGAAAATTGCAGATATTAAAATGAAACTATTTAATTTTTTTTTTGTCTGGTGTTAAACCTTCTATTGATATATTATAAAGGAATATACCATATGCTGAATCATTAACCATCCTGTATATATATATAAATATTATATTTTACCCTACAATGACGTCGATACCAACCCGCCAACCCGCGTTAAAACGTTGAAGGCCACTCCAACCCCGATTACAAAGTTTCAAAATGTTTAGTGCGAACAACAATGACCCCTAAAATTAATAATGAGTATAGGGTGAAAAGGCAGTCGGTGATACGATGGATTTTACTGACCGGTGACATCATTTCGACCAACAGATTAATCACAGTAAAGTCCAACTCTAAAACACATTTCTGTTGCGGTATTACAAAGTTGCACGTTTAAAGTTCACTCTATAATGTTCTTAAATTATCAATGGAATATATTAATTTAAAAGGACGTATCGAAACTAATTACGATTACTATTAATTAGCAGGGCCGGTGGAAGGACATGGTAGTACAGATAGTACTACCCACTTAGAAAACTTCCACACCGATATCTTTTTGAAATTGTGTATCTCAAATGTGTGATACATTGCTAAAAATGAAAGCGAAACAGGAAGGAAGGGGCTTCCCTATCTTACTATCCACTCGGGCTTAGCGTGTTCTGCCGACTCCGTTAATTAATTAACAATAACAAAATGTATCTTCATTAATATTCCAGTTGTGGTTTCATGCTATTTCTAGTTTAAATAATACATTTACAGAATGTCTATGTTTGGTCCTTCGAGCCGGATTGCACATATTGACTTATTAATTATTGTAATTTCGTACGTCTCAGTATAATTATTCAAGAAATAGCTAAATTGTCTCTTGACATTTTATTGCAAGTATATTTTCAATTTTATTTGAAGGTAAATTTTCTAAAAATATACGTGCCTTACAATGAAGTGGTAAATTTTGTAGCTATTTTCCTGGTTGGTTCACGTCTTCACCTCCACTTAACCTTTCTCTAATGGAGAAGTCTTGCTCCAAAGATTTCATACCAGCAGTTTCCGGCACCGAAGGTGTGTAAGAAAGGCGTAAGAAGATTTATCCCCGACGTTGCCACGCATCATTATTATTAAAGGAATGTAGAGGCTTCCTAATATAAGCTAATTGACTGTGTGGTTTACAATAATGGAACGTGAAGGTGAAAGGGCGTACGTAGGTAATTTCTTCATTTAGAAAGTTCATCCGTAAACCAATTTTTCTATATAGGTAATCCTGCAAAATTTGATCAGAATGTTATTTTAAGTATTATCCGTCGCAGACCATGAGAAATATTTTGTAGCGTCCTGTCTCTATATTTTAACTAGAATGATATCTCGAGACCAAAATAAAGTTTTAGGAGCTGATGAAATGTTTAATAATACAATAATAAATGGTCTGAAATCAATTCGTTATTTTTAATTAGTTTGTATCTGCTTTGTTTATCGAGTGAAAATTCCCGTGTTCGAATTCTTTTTCAAACCATTGTTGGCTGAGTTGGAAATTAATTCAAATGTGAACTTTGGCTCAGGGTGACTATATTTTATTCATGTTGCAGTCCCAACCCGTAATACAACTGCTGACATGAACTTTTAATCAAGTTTCTATCGATTATACCGAATGAAATGCAAACAGATTTTACCTGGCAGATATTTTCAAAAACTGAATTCCTAGCTGAAGATTCGGCTAAATAATTTCTTAATATAATATCTTCAAAGAAAAACTAAAATACTGGTATGCAAGGGAAGAAAAAGTAGGGAAAGAGCGAATATAAAGATAGGAGAAGAAAAATTAGAAGAAGTGGCTGATTTTAGATACATAGGAAGTCAGATAAGTCAGGATGGAAGGAGTAGTAGGGATATAAAGCAGAGGATAGCGCAGGGTCGTGTCGCCTTTAATAAAAAGAAGTCACTTCTATGCTCGCGAACGGTTAATTTAGAAATTCGAAAAAGGTTGTTAAAGGTGTATGTTTGGAGCACGGCGTTGGACGGGTGCGAAACATGGACAGTGGGCGCGGCGGAAAAGAAAAGGTTAGAAGCGTTCGAAATGTGATGTTATAGGCGGATGATGAGGATAACGTGGGTAGAAAAGGTTAAAAATAAAGAGGTATTGGAAAGAATAGGAGAACAGACGACTCTATGGAAGTCAATAAGAAATAGGCGAGATAGGTTGGTAGGACACCTTCTCTGGCATGAAGGTCTAGTCAGAGACATATTAGAGGCAGAAACAGGAGTTAGGAGGGAAACAGGAGTTAGGAGGGGTAGAGGTAGACCTAGATTAGATTACTGTTTGCAAATAGTTAAGGATGTGGGCTGTTCTAGTTTTAGGGAAATGCGAAGTTTAGCTCAGGATAGGAAAGAGTGGAGGTACATGTCCAACCAGTCTTAGGACTGACGACCTTATGATGATGATGATAATATCTTCAGTTTACCTTATTCATTTGATTATTTTATTATTACGTTCAACCTAGACGACTTTTAACATCCAAATCCACGTAATAAATAATGCCTTTAGTGTTTTCGATGCTTCACAATGTCACCCACCTCTGAAATATATCTCTGAAATATATTGCGTACATCTTTTCAAACAACCATTTGTAAGTGTCAACTCCTTCGAACAACTGTTCTGGAGACAGATCCCTTTGAATTCCTTCCTTACCTATCTCTAAATCAAATGAGGCAATATTCCAAAGGTTGTCAAAGGTTACAAAATTTCTAAGATGCTTTTTTCCCTTTGTTCCTTATATTGGGTTCGATAGTTATCTGGGATCATTCAATTTAAAATTTTCATGCCCAGGAAATTAATGCGCACGAATAAGTGAGTGTACCTAAACACAGGACGAATTCAAGCGGACCCATTTCTATTAATTATTTTTATTTTGTGCTATGCCTACACTTTGAGTGTATTTCACTCCGGTTCTAATTAAGGCCTGTACGTGCTTAGACCCGAAAAATCCTGTTACTCATGCTACTAGAATCTAGTGGGGAGTTTTCGTACAATCCAGTTAATCCTTATTTGTTCTCTAAATAAACAATTAAGGATTTTTCTTTTTCCTTTTTTACTAACGAACCAAATTTGGTCTAATCTTTCGACTACCAAAAAATAACATCATTCTTCTCGCCTTTCGTACATATTGTCTCGTTCCGTCGAAACGATGCGGCAATTACTTTAGAAATAATTAATCACGTAGGGTTTTAATTAAAAATAATTAGTTAATTTTCTAGAATAAGCACAGGTTACGGTTATAAGGCAACAGCTTGACAAACAGCGTTTATGTGTATCATTTGAGTATTTAGTTCCCTTGCAGATTTGGTCCTTCGAGCCGGATATCAAAATATATTTAATGTATAACCAGCAAACGTCAAGAATGTTTCAGCATATAATGTGCACAGTTGCTTCAGTTACTCACATTATAGTTATTATAATTGCTAATACCCCGTTTAATTGCTTTGGAATTTCGATTAAATAGTTAGAAGATAAGCGGATGGAAAAACGTCGAGTTTCCCTGTATTCGAATAGTTAACATCTCATTAGTTTTGTCTAAAATGCCTGGGTACCTAATGTATATCAAAGACACGAGATGTACGTACACACAGGTTACAAAGATTTATGGGCTGTGCAAATGTGAACACTAAATCGCCCTTTGGCGCTGATTCGTTATGAAACTCCGAAAATGACTTTGTGATACGATTTTAATGCGATGGATCGTTGTTTTGCGTTGTTAAATTGTTTTGTGACATACATAGGCGCTTTGTTGGAATAATTCGGATAATAAAAGAAATTTTACAACTCTGAAACTGCTATAAATTATGACAACTTTTTTACAACTTTTATTACTACTTATTAATACAAAGTATTGTTTTGACACATTAGTTACCAATATAGAAAGACGATTATCACTAACAAATGTATCACCTCGTCTATAATTACGCAATTTTTTGAAAAGCATATAACAATACTTCATTAGCAGACAGGCTAGGTGATTTTCTATCTATTAAACGATGTCTGCAATTGGCCCATTCCGTCGGAAGTAACGCGTATCACGGTGAGTTATTTCGCTTAAGACTAATGCGCGTTAGTAACGGAGTTCACGCGATTTAATTTACGTAGTGTCCGAAGAATAAAACTAAATTTACGAGCACCGTGAAATTTTTTCATTAAATAACGCGCGGCGATTTTTTACGCGCTCTTTTGCGCCCATCAGTCGCCACTTGAGCGACTCGCGCGCCTGTCATGAAAATTCATGAACGAGAACCGAACAAAAGTACATCGAGTCAGTGAAGTCCAGGCGATTTGACTCGAGTCCTGCAGATGCATAATATGGATTTCCGTATGAATAAAAGAGAACGCACTTTAGGATGAATTGATAATTGCCCGGCCGAGAATAATTTTAGTGTCTTCCTTTTTTTTTCTAATAAAAATGCATCTGAATGGATCAGAATATGTACTTACTACACTCAACCGGATCTGGGCCTTGAAACAATACACTGGGTATCTTTATGTATGTGTCTAGTGAATTAACTCATTGAATAAATTCCATACATTATGGGAACGTGAAGGCA